ATAGTTTTTATATTTCTCAATGGTCATAATAGATGAGTCTTTCTCTTTGATTTCACAAGAAATCATATTACTCATTCTTCTATAAACATCATGGTCATTATTGATATTTCAAAAAAAAAATATTGTCAATAAATAAGTTTATAAACTTATACAATTTATTTCCATCTCTGTATTACTAATGATCATTAATATAATTATCTTTTGGCGTATGCAGCATACATGGACAGGAACAATTGATAACTAGTGGAGTACATTGCAGTATAATTTTATTAGAATGAGAATTAATAACAAAACCTACTCATAGGATTTATAATCGAACGAGAAATAAATTCAATATTTTCCGTTAAAGAAATGTTTAATTGCTGAAAGATTTTTGAATTGGAATCAATGGATTTTATCAATATGTGACTAGAAGCATATTCTTTAATTATATTGAGCTATCAATGGTTTTCTGCATATTGTATTTATTTTAAAGATTTGTTCTTATTGAACGCAACATTTATGTTCTTTTTTTCTACAATTAATCAGAAAATTAGCAGGGAAATTATTGATGTATATATTAAATAACGTGTTTCAAGTTTTAAAGCAATGTAAATGATTATCGTGTATTATTCTTCATTTCTATTCAAATATTTATAAGATAAGAAGTGTGTCTTGACGATATATAATTGCAAAAAAGTGACAACTATTAAAGATATGTTCATTTTAAAACACACATTTTCTTCCTCTTATTTTAACCTTGTCATGATATTTTATCTTTGTGAGAATAATTGTATTTGTTGATTTCTTTCAGTCTTTCTCACAATTGTACTAGAAAACGTAAAAAAAAGCATTTTTTTATTTTGTTGTTAAATACACTTGTGATCTTTTTTCAATTAATCAAACGCAAAATTGACAAAACAAAATGATAAAAACTATGGACAAATTTAAATTTCTTTTTGCTTGCGTTCATTATATTCTTATGCTTGTATGAGAAATAATTGTGAATAACCTTAAATTGTCGAATATTTACAGTGATCAACAACATACATATAATTTATTTAGTTTGTATTAGACATTCAAATGAAAAAGCATTAGTATTTTTGTATTAGTAAGTCATAAATAGATGTTGAATATTAACAAGAGATCATCCATAAAGGACATCCAAATAAAAATTACAGTTTTTGAACCCTTCCTTCCTCCTGGTAGAGTCCCTCGAGTTCAAAGTTTTTAGGACCCAGTTGAATCCTACTGTGATGCTTTCAATGAAATTTTCTAATCGTAATTGGATAGTCTCTGCGAAGATACGAAATAGATTTTTTGTAATTTTTTGTATTCAGTCCAGTATAATAAAACAACTTTCTAAAAAGAGCCTGTTTGTTCAAACATATTGCTTCTTTTTTTTATTGAATAACAGTTCATTAAATAAATAAATATATCAAAAATAGAAATTGAAACACATGACATAAACAGCAAATAAAAATCTAACATATTGTGAAGTCTTTGTTTTTCAAATAAATTCTATTGTAACGAGCAGAAAATAATATAAACAAAAAATAAAGTTCAACTATTTGCTCATGTAAGATAATCTTGAATTATTTCAACATCATATTCATATTTCAGTGATTGATTCAGTTCATTTCCTATTTCACTATAAATCATAGTAAGTGATTAACATTTTAAAGATATTTTGATTGCATCTGCTCATTTCGATATCCTATTCATTATTTAATACATAAATTAAGTTAAAAGATAATCTGTGTAATAAAACGAAAAAAGAGAATAAGAAAAAAATAGGTGATGGAATGTTTTGCAAGATTATTTTTAACTTAAAATATATAATGATGAAGAGTCATCTGTGATAATAAGAAAAAAACATTTTATAAAATGTTATTTGTATCCTAAATCGAAAGAAGTTGACTGATAAACAATGTCAATCATAAATTTGTAAGTTTTGATAGAATCGTTTATCCTAATATAATCAATTTATTTTTTATCATTATATCATATCATTTGATGAAATAATAAACCTGATCAATAAGATGTATGAATAAATAATGATTAACAAAAAGTGAATTAAAAGAATATTGGCAACATTGTTTTTGTATTCTATATGACAAAGCAAAAAAAAATCGTTTGATACTTTTTCTTTTCAATATTTTGTTTTTTTTTCGTTAGACAACGACTCAACAAACTTGCATATCTAAAGCAATATTTTCACGATTTTATTTCATTCACCTCTATGATGATTTATACTATATAAATCTATTGTGTCAATGATACTTTACGTTATTCGTTTAAATATTTGTTAAGGTATGAATGCATCTGAAACATAATGAGCAACTACATTCATGTACAACTAAGATTCAACATTTACTACATCCAGATATAATTGAAATCATTGATTTTCCATATGTCTCGATATGGTTACATGTTTCACTTAGCGAAGTCAAGTTTACGTTTTAAGACTTTTTGGGTATGTGAAAAATAATAAAATATGTCTGAGTGTATTTTAATATTCGTTTATCTAACTCTTGCCCATATGTCTACACATTTGTTCTCTTGTACATATTGCTATCTTTTCTATACCTACTTTTCCCCTTCTATTAAAACTACTCAATGTTTTATAATGAAATAAGAGGAATATGCTTTCTCTTTTTTTTATCCATGCCTCTCAATAAAAAAAAAAGGCAGAATAAGATTCTCGACATCTTTTTTTGTTCGTCTCTTTTCTCTATTCCTTGTATAAATACTCACCTTTTTCTTTTCATAGTATAATATCTATTTACACTTTTGTGCTCTGAAATCTTTTAACAATCGATTACTTGCATATGAAGACTATCTCGTAGAAATCTATTCTAGATTTTCTAAAGTTAATGACTCAAATGTACTAAATGTTCGATAAGTCCAAACGAAAAAGAATCGTGAATAACTTCTCAGTAATTCAAGAGATTTAAATAGTTTCTTTTTTTCTAGTTTGATAACATATGTATTAAAGCTTTCAGATAAAATGTCTGTGTTTACAGAAGTTAAAATTAAAATAGTTTGACTCATGGTCAAATTCGAATCAGCTACTATTGTAAAACGAAAGTCGCAAGTCGAATTCGGTCAAAACAAGTCGACTAAATCCTGTATTAGAGCCACATTTTAGTGATATTGTGAATTTGATACTATCGAAAAGCGATTACATTCTGGAAGATCTATATTAATTAGTTAAGAAAAAATTAATGCAGTTAAGAATGCTTGTAAAAATAAACCAGGATCATCTATTTAGTCCATTGCACAAGTTTGTTCATAACCAGACACAACAATATACCGAATTATGATGGAATATCTTGTATAAAAGCTATGCAAGGCACTTCTATGAAGAAGAGTTGAGTAGACCAAACACTTGATCCTGTTTTATTTTTACAAGCGTCAGTAAATTCATCGATTTTTTCTTCAGTAATTATTCTACAATCATCAATTTTAATTTCTAATTATTGCTTTAAAGCGTTGGCTTATTCGAATTTGACTATGAGTGAAACTATTTAGGTGGAAACATTTTATCTCAAATATATTGAATAAAACTTTAATGAATATGTGACTAAACTGTAAAAGAAAATATAAATCTGTTAAGTTGCTGAGGAACTATTCATGTTTTCTTTTTCATTCGAACTTTTCGAGCACTCCATATATTGAACATTTTGTACAAAAACAATGAATTATTTGACATTATCAAAAAATTTATAATTCTATGTAATATTCATTATTTTATTTATTTTAAAGGGATACTGGTTTATGTTCAGATTGTCAGCAGGTAATATCAAATATTCTACTAAAAGGATATTGATTGTTTCTTACACGATGTATATTTAATAACTATAGTAGTCACAAGAAGTGCCATTACCGAGTAAAAACTACATAAACTTCAATCCTTTTGCTTGATATTTTGACTACAAGTAGAGTTCGATAACTCCTGATCGCAAGTAGTAACTCGAAGTTGATAGATCTTGATGCCAGAGTCTACGATGCATACACTGGTTTCTTCCCAAGGGCATAAAAAAAGGCTTTTTCAATACTTCTCTGGTTTTTCACTATTATCTCTATTTTCTCAGTAACAAGTAAAGATTTGGATGTAGATATTGGGTCACACATAGGATGCTTCAATCCACTGTAATCTTTAGGCGTCGGGAAAGCCTCCATTATCTGAACCGGTTCTAGTATGACTTTTCTTTTCATCAATGATTGCAAAAAAAAAACTTAATTAGAGTACAACACTCATTGGAGAATATTTCAAGGCAAATAGTTAAAACTAACTGAAGGAGATATCGGTCAGTTCTCGATGATTCTCATCAACTTTCATACGAGGATTATCCAAAGAATACTTGATATATCAGAAAAACTAAAATCGTTTGATATAGAGTTTTTATTGATGATTGAGACAATACTGAATTGTTGAATGGAAGCCTCTAACATCATGAGATTTATTTTCTATGTTGAGATTAGCGCTTGCGATCAGAGTTCAACATGTTCTATTTGTGGTCAAACTATGAGACTAAAAGATTAAATTTCAGATACTTTTTACAACCGCTGCATATGATTTATTTACTTAAATTCTCATTGATTATTGTTTTTTTTTGGAAGATCTATCCAGTTCGTTGTCATCCATGATGGACATGTAACTGTTGTAATAAACCTTTATTTTCTTCTTGTATTTCTCAAGAATCAGTATCTATACTTCAATTTAATAAAGCCTAAAACAATTCAATTGTTATTGTTTTAGATCCTTCCAAAAAATTCAAACAGAATGAAAATTTCACTACGCTTGTCAACACATCGTTACCCTTATACATCTAAGAATACCAATGCTTTTTGTCAGACAATCAATCTAAATAAAAAAGTTAATATGATTATGAGAAGTATTACAACAATAAATGAAGAAATGAAACATGTTAGTGATAGATTAATTGTTCAGAAGAATACATTGCAATGTCTAAATCAAGAATGTTTATTATTAAAAATGAACTGTAAACAAACAAATGCTTGTATTAAAAAAATTAAAATCTGATCAAGATGAATGTGAAAAAAAACTTCAACAAACCACACAACTACTTGAAGATCTTCATTATATAAGTTATGATGGTACAC